GCCCACCACTCCAGAGATTTAAAACTGTTGTTACAGAGCAGGAGCCAGTGCCTGGTGAAGGACATAGCATTCCCCTCAAAGCTGACTTTCTCACTCCTGGTCTTCCTTCCCCTCCCCCTGTTAGGGCGTGCCGTTTTTCTGCTGTGGCCTGTATTCTGGATTTTCAGAGGACTCTGTCCTTGTTACCTTTGTTTGGGTGATTCTTGTTTTCCTGATCCAAGCTTTTTATGTAATAACTCTTTGGGGGAATGACATGTCTAAAGTCCTGTGAGAAGTCCCCTGGTACGTCTGCCTGAAATGGTAAGTAAGGAAAAAGTCACACTGCGTCTGGAAGGCAGACTCTGTTGTAAGTTCCTTCAGAGCAACACAGATAATAGAATATTTAAGCAAAGTAAAATTCTTTGAAGCTTTTTATGTAGCAGAACCACCCAGCTAAGCTACTCCCAGAGTCCTTAGAAATTCACTTCTGCCCGCTCCCCACCCCTCCGCCCCTCCACCGCCCCTGCAGTCCTCCCAGAGGCCTGTGTCCCAGGGTGTGGGCCAAGTTTTTCTGTAGGGATAAAGTGATGCCAATAAAATGTAGCAAGAACAACAACAACAAAATTCCTTTGAAATTGTGTGAGATAATAAACATTGTTTTAAGATGCTAAGTCTTGGGGATTAATTGTTATGCAGCAATTGATAACTGATACACTGACCCAATTAGATAATTAATCATAAAGTTATAATGATTAAAACAGCTTGGTATACTATGCCAGAAATCTACTTCAATGGAATAGTATTGGGAGTTTAAAAAAGAGAATATGTATATGGGAATTTTGTATATGATACAGGTATCATTTCAAATCAATGTGGCAAAGATTAGTTAGTAAATAAATTATATTAGGATAATAACCTAGCCATTTAGAATCTTGCCAAAATAAAGATGACCTCTTGTCTCTGGACAAAGCTTTCAAATGAAATGAATTTGAAGTTTTAGGATACGAAAAAGCAAAAACCATTAAAAAAAAGTTTTATTTTTCCTTTATTCTGTAAGGCAGTGCTGAGCAATATTTATATATTATTTGCATTGCTTTTAGTTTCCTGCCAAAAGTGAGACTATCTCTAGTATTTGTACAGTCCAGACCCCCCGAGGCTGACTTGGTTCACCTGGTCCTAGAGTCGGACAGAGTTTGCATGCAACTGCCCAATTTCCTGGGCAGTGCTGAGTGACAGCTTCAAGGAAAGGAGCAATGGGTTCTGATCTTTTTAATACCTCCACCAAGCAAATACTGTGGGCGCTTGGTTTTAGTGTGTAGTAGCTCTCTTAACCTCACTTGAGGCAGTTTCATCAGTGACATTCACACAACTTTGTTCCTTCATTCAAAGCACTAAGGAGCAAGTCTCTCTTAACTTTCTAATAAAAACATTAAATAGCAAGTAAGCATTAGCAAAGAGAGATGTGTAACTTTCCATGGGCATTCTGCAAAAATGCATGTACTTTTTCCTTATTGATATATATGTATTTACTTTCTGGGAAAGGTCACACAAATCTTGGTAAAAATTACTTCATGATCATAATTCGTTGACTTCATCTTCTTTCCAAAAGAAAATGAAAAAAAAAAACCAAAAACTACATCATAATGTTAGAAAAATTACCTACAATTTCCCATAACAAAATTTTTCTAAAAAATTTTTTTGAATACAGTTTTTTTTTAATACAGGAAAGTACAAAATGTCCCATTACCCACAAAATGACCTACTACCCAGGTAGCCTCACTGACATTAAAAAAAAAAAAAAAAAGAATAATACATGAAAGGAGATTCAAATATTCCAAGAACCTTTTAGAAAAAAAAGGACACTACAGTTAATGTATACTTGGTGGTACAATGAGTCCCAATTTTAGAAAATGTGTGTGGTAAGGAATGTATCTTTGAATTGGTGAACTGTTATTTCTTTCCAGCTTTTTTTCTTTGTATATTTTTTGCATACTTGATCTATAAAATGTATGTACATTTTTGTGGCCTGTTTTTTCCACTTAATATTATCACATAAACATTATCTTAATGTTATTAAACATTAATTTTTATACTCAATGTAATTTATTTAATTATATAAAATTTAATTTAAATATTCCATTGTATTTAGTTTAACCACTTTCCCATTGTTGACATTTAAGTCGTTTCCAGTGTTTGTTCTTATAACTAATGCTTTCCCAGACATCATTCTGCATACCCTTTTGTTGACTTTCAGGTTATGTCCTCATGATAATATTCAAAAGCAGAGTTCTTAAGGCTCTTATTACAACACAATATAAAGATGACTATAAAAAAATATAGAACTGGCAATAGCTCAACTGAACTTGGGGGCCCAACATTTCAGAGTCTTTGTGTCAACCTGTGTGGTTTTAATAAACACAGGTGAGCATACAAAATAAATATTTAATAGATTTTTATCAGGGTCTTTTGGGAATCTGCTTTGTGCTAGGCGCTGTGCTAAGTTCTATGGAGGCTATGAAGATTGATAAATAAAATTTGTTCTCTTAAGAAGCTTACTATTACTAGGTATGTTATAGTTCACCCACAGCCCATTATGCAAATTTAGTTTCTTCTTGGTATTTAAAGTTTTTCAGCGTCATATAACTGCTTTGCTTTAAGGTTTGGGCCTTTAAGCTACTTTTTTAAAAATTGAAATACAGTTGATTTACAATGTTTTGTTAATTTCTGGTGTACAGCATAGTGATTCATTTATACATATGTATATTCCTTTTCATATTCTTTTTCAGAATAGGCCATTACAAAGTACAGAATATAATTCCCTATGCTATACAGTAGGACCTTGTTTATCTGTTTTATATATAGTAGTTAGTATCTGCAGATCCTGAACTCCCTATTTATCCCTTGCCATTCCCTTCCCCTCCTGGTAACCCTAAGTTAGTTTTCTGTGTGAGTCTGTTTCTGTTTTGTAGATAAGTTCCTTTGTGTCATTCTTTTTAAGATTCCACATATAAATGATGTGATATGATATTTTTCTTTCTCATTCTGGCTTACTTCACTTAGTTTAACAGTCACCAGCCCTGTCCACGTTGCTACAAATGACATTATTTTATTCTCTTTTATGGCTGAGTAGTATTCCATTGTACATATATACCCCAACTTCTTATCCAGTCATCTGTTGATGGACATTTAGGTTGTTTCCATTTCTTGGCTATTGCAAATAGTGCTGCTATGAACATTGGGGTGCATGTATCTTTTCGAATTAGAGTTCCCTCTGGATGTATGCCCAGGAGTGGGATTGCTGGATCATAGGATAAGTCTGTTTTCAGTTTTTTAAGGAATCTCTGTATTGTTTTCTATAGTGGTTACACCAAATTACATTCCCACCAACAGTGTAGGAGGGTTCCCTTTTCTCCACAGCCTCTCCAGCAGTTATTGTCTGTAGACTTCTAATGACGGTCATTCTGACTGGTGTGAGGTGATACCTCATTGTAGTTTTGATTTGCATTTCTCTGATAATTAGTGATATTGAGCATTTTTTTCATGTGCCTATTGATCATTTGTATTTCTTCCTTGGAGAATTGCTTGTTTAGGTCTTCTGCCCATTTTTGGATTGGGTTCTTTGATTTTTTTCTATTGAG